TCTCAGTCCAGCCTCAAACCATGGCCAAAGTAACTGGAACTTCAGTTGTGCTTGACGCAACAGATCCAAAGTCATTTTAGCCCATTTGAAGGCTAGAAAGTGGTCTCAGTCAGACGGAGTTAGATTTTTCAGCAGGGAGCAAATTTGAACCTCAGAACTGGACACCAACAGAGGCAGACAGGATGTTCGCTGGGATGGACATCTTCTTTCACAGGAGAGAATGCTAAAAGCCAGAGTCAGGTTTTACAACTTAACTTGTAGAGGTAGTAAATGAACCCAGGTTCAAAAGTAGGCTTAAAGACTGGGCATGGTTGCTGTCATCTGTCATCCTACCTACTCTTGGGAGTCCAAATGGAAGGTTCACCATGCCGGGTCAGCCTGGACAGTTAGTGCAAGACCCAAGTGCAAAAGGAAAAGGATGAGGGAGAATGATGGACAGGAGCATTGATTAAGATATCTTGTGCTCACACACTGACACGTTGAACTGAAACCCCTTTATCCAAATACTTATAAATAGAATTAAAAAAAAATAAAACCAAGGATTGGGGGCTCACACTTGTAATCCTAGCTATTCAAGATCCTGGGCAGAAAGGTCTGCAAGACTCTTATCTCCAATTATAAGCAGCGTGCGCGTGCGCGCGCGCGGGCGTGCGCACACACACGCACACACACACACACACACACACACGCGCGCGCCAGAATTGGAGCTGTGGCTCAAGTGGCAGAGTGATAGCCTTGAGCAATAAAGCTAAGGGACAGCGCCCAGGCTCTGAGTTCAAGCTCTAATACCAGAAACAAGCAGATTAAGACAAATCATAAAGGAAAGAGTCTGAAGGCAACACTCAAACAACAGAGCTCTTGTCTAGTAAGGCCTAGGCCCCAAGTTCAATCCTCAGTACCAATCACCACTCCAACAACCTTAAATGTTTACCACCAAAGAACCAACACCCACCCATCACATCCACTTCGGATGTCTTGGGTCCAGGTCTCCACCCACTAATTCCCGTCTTCATTGCTGCTCTGCCCCACGGCATCCATCTAGTCCCACCAGCTCAGACTCAGAGCTGATGTCCAGCTCCTGCCCTGGGCTCTTCCCAGGGATGTCAGCCGACTCTCACCTAATGCGCCTGCGCCCAGCCCGGTCAACATGGAAGAATAGCTGCTTCTGCGCAAGCTCAGGGCTCACCTTGTCTTTTTCCCCTGTGGTTTTCTCTGCCCAGAAGGTCCCTGCCCAGGCAGGACCCTCCTCCTGCTGTCTGGAGGCTCAGCCCCTACACCACTTCTTCCACCAGCCCTTCATTTATTCTCAAAGCCAAAACTGCCCTGGACTTGGCCCTTCGATGTCTGCAGCCATCACATTCCCCGGCAGAATGCGGTCGTTAGTTATGGAAATACTGCTTCTCCCCCCTGAACTCTGAATTCCTGTAAGTCAGAGACTATATCTTTTTTTTTTTTTTAAATAGCTTCAGCAGAATTATTCACTCAGAGAAAACATCCTTTGTTGTTGTTGTTAAACTAGGCTGCAATTTACTATCTTATGAAACCCAGCAACATTTAGACACACATGTCTTTTCTTTTAATAATTTTTTTTATTGAGATTAAGTGATTACACAAATTCCACCGGGTTGTGGGATAGTGATACTTAAAGTCACAAACACATTTTAACCTTCACAAAGCAAATTGTCATTATCATGGTCTATAAAGTTTGTGAATTCTATGAGCTTTGACAATACAACAATTTCTTCCACATCGGGTGATATGTACATGAATTCAAGCCCTAGTACAGGTCCCCAAAAAGGAATGTGTTTATTGTAGGCAAATGCATGCTGGGTTGTTGCAAAGACAAGAGACTGATAATAACACCTGAGATTTTTTTTTTTTTTTGGGGGGGGGGGGTGCCAGCCCTGGGACTTGAACTCAGGAACAGGTGTTGTTCCTGAGAGTTTTTGTTTGTTTGCTAAAGGCTAGCACTCTACCACTTGAACTACAACTCCACTTCTGGCATTTTGGTGGTTAATTGGAGAAGAGTCTCATGGACTTTCCTGCCCAGGTTGGCTTTGACCTACAATCCTCAGCCTCCTGAGTAGCTAGGGTTATAGGCATGAGCCACTGGATGCCCAGCCTAAAACCTGAGATCTTGACCATAATGTAGTTGTGACAGACTCAAGAATCAACCCTGCTATGAACTCTTAGGTATTTCCCAAATAATTATTACCCATCGTCCTTGTCTGCTATGAAAGGAAGAGCACCCTTGATCAGGAGAAAAAGACCTTGGGCCTACCTCTGCTGTACTAAATACGTTAGCCATGTCACTCTTATTCCTCTTCATTAGTAGGACAGGCAGTAGTGTGGGAGGAAATCTTTTAGGAATATGGATGCCAACCCTGTAGCAATAAGGATGTGACGCCATCCTGAACACAAGTGCTCTGATTTCAAGCAGTTCCTAGGTCAGTCTCCGGACCAGCAGCATCATTGGGAACATTGAGAGCAATGCACCCTCTCAGTGCCACCCCAAACCCATGAGTCCAAACTCTGCGTCCATTGCCTGGGGAACAGTGGCTTGTGGTGTCCCCCTTTTCTTTCATAAGGGAGGCTGAGCTGTTCTGGGGAAGCTGAGTGGGTTGTTCCCTCTATGCCACCAGCCCTCTCCAGCTAGCTGGGACGCAAAGCACAGTACCAAAGGCATTGCCCTACCCTCCTCACAGAGGTTTCTTGGACATAATGATGGGAAAGTGGTGGAAATTCAGAGGGGCTCTGCGAATGGAAAGAAGGTAAGAGTTAATACACTTTATGGAGATGTGTCAAAAAGGAAAATAATGAGATTTAGAGACATTTGATAGCAGATTCTATCAACTACTCTTAACTTCTAAAGAATCTTTTTGGATATATATGTATATATATATATATATATACATATATATAAATAATGAGATTTAGAGACATTTGATAGCAGATTCTATCAACTACTCTTAACTTCTAAAGAATCTTTTTGGATATATATATATATATATATATATATATATATATATACATATATATATATATATCTTAGTTTTTGTCTTGCCTGTCAGTTTATATTTGACAAAAAGATAAAAAAAAAAACCAACAACAAAGAGGTAAGCCAGGTGCTGGTGACTCATGCCTGTAATCCTAGCTACTCAGGTGGCTGAGATCTGAGGATTGCAGTTCGAAGCCACCCTGGGCAGGAAAGTCTGTGAGATTCTTATCTCCAATTAACCACCAAAAGCCAGAAGTGGAGCTGTGGCTCAAAGTGGTAGAGCAGTAGCCTTGAGCAAAACAGCTTAGGGATAGCACACAGGCCCTGAGTTGAAGCCTCACAACCGAAGGAAAAATTAAAAAAAAAAAAAAAAAAAAGTGGGTAGAGTGAAGATGTAGCAGCAATGTAGAAGAAAGTCTACATCTCCAGTCACTGCCAGGGGTAGTAAGATGAAGAACTCTAGCTTCCTTTTGAGGAAAAAAGTGGAAGGAGGTTCTTTCGTTGTTTATCTTGACAGTTACATGGAATAAAGGATCTCAACTGATTTGCATCTCCTTTAGCTCATATCCAAACACACACACACACACACACACACACACACACACACACACACACACACATACACACACACACACACACCCTTCAGACCTGATTCAGAAGGAAATAGTTTTTTTTTTACTAAAATTATTTGGGTTCTTTAATGTCTTCTATCAAATTCTCTGCAGGGAACTTTCCTGAAGAAGCAGTGAAACGGAGAAATGCATGGCCTTAAATCATGTTGTCTACACCAGACTGTGGTAAATCTTGATCTCATTCCCCTCAGGTGATCAGTGCTGACAGTAGCTGAAGCATCAGCAAACTACCAAATGTTTATAATAGTAAGTGTTTTAATATTACTATTAGCAAAGCATAAATGGCTGAGTAAAGTTGTCTTAGACAAGAGCTTTGGTTTGACGGGAAGAAAGAGTATAAACAATGAAGGAAGCCATTAGTATTTGTGACAAATAAGACAACAAATCAAGGTATCTTTTAAAATCCCAAACAAGGCAGAGTTAGGGCAGAGCCACATAGTTGCTTCTACAGTTAGTCTGTTGAGATGTATTCTTTTGATTTTAGTAGATGAAGAAAAATTAGTCTCAGACAAAAAGTAGTTGGAAATAGGGAGGGCTATTCCAATAGCTTTTGAGTTATACTTGTGGCTACTTTTCTTTCTTAGTTGCTTTTTGCTGGTACTGGGGTTTGAAGTCAGGTCCTTGTGTATGCTAGATTTCTTGGCTGGTGCTCTACCACTCAAGCCACACTTCCAGCCCTGCTTTGTACTGGCTTATGGGAGATAGAGTCTCATTCTTTTCTGTCCTGGCAACTTTAAATGGATATCTTCCAGATCTCTGAGCAGCAAAAATTACAGTCTCAGGTTTCCAGCCGGTAATTATCTTTTCCCTCACATAAAAGGTACCAAAATGTTCAAGTGTGTGTGTGTGTGTGTGTGTGTGTGTGCGCGCGCACACACACAAGCATGCACACACATGAGCACACACATGCTTACCACTTTAGGGCTTGAACTCAGGGCCTAAGCACTGAACTGGCTCCATCTGGCTCTTTACCATTTGAACCATAGGTCCACTTCTGATTTTGTGTTGGGAGAGGGTAATTAAGTGGACATAAGAATCTCATAAACCTTCTTGTCTAGGTTGGCTTTGGGCCATGATCCTCAGATCTTAGCCTCCTGAGTAACTAGGATTACAGGTGTTAGACACCAATGCCTGGAAAAAGTGTTAGTAGCAACACTGAATCTGAGATCTAATCTGTTCTATTAAAATCCATTGCTTATATTGGACTTAAACAGATACTTTACTCATGATTATGGTTTTTTAAAAAAAGTGGCTCTGAGTTGGGTGCCAGTGGTTCATGTAATCCTAGCTACTCAGGAGGCTAAGATCTGAGGATCATGGTTCAAAGCCAGACCAAGTGGGAACATCTGTGAGTCTCTTTTTTTTTCTTCTTCTGTGCAACCCCCTTCAGTGCCAGTAGCCCACAGATCGAGGCCAGGCAATGGTTCGGGACCACAGTTTGCTCTGGCATGGGACACTATGAAAGGCCCAGGGGGACGGGCCTGCCATAAATCCAACCCATGCATCTGTGAGTCTCTTATCTCCAATAAACCACTAGAAAACCAGAAGTGGCGCTGTGGCTCACGTGGTAGAATGCTCGTCTTGAGCTGAAGAGCTGAGGGACAGTGCCCAGACCAAGAGTTCAAGCCCCATGACCAACAACAAAAAAAAAAAAAAAGGGAAGAAATAAAAGAAGAAAATATCTACTTAATATCACTACCATATTAAGCCCAGTTTGTATTTAAGAAAATAAATCTTAAAGATTGAAAAACCCTACTTTGCCATTGACTTTGTCTCAATAAAAATGATGCTTCCAGTTGGATCACAGGAGCGTGTGTCTCCAAGCTGAGTAGCATACTTTGGTATGCAGTAGATATTCTGTATATGGTATCATTTACCACACTGAATATATTAAAAGGACATCAATTCAGGGGTTATGACATGGATTTTTGCTGATTGATTGGGGTTACTCAAGTTTTCTGGCCAAGTTTTCTTTCCACTCCCTTCTCCAAAAGGAGAAACAAGGGGGGCTGAGAAGGTGGCTCAGTGGTAGAGCGCTTGCCTTGCATGCATGAGGCCCTGGGTTCGATTCCTCAGCACCACATAAGCAGGGGGAAAAAAAAAGCCGGAAGTGGTGCTATGGCTTAAGTCGTAGAGCACTAGCCTTGAGCTGAAGAGCTGAGGGACAGTGCCCAGGCCCAGAGTTCAGACCCCACGACCGGACCCCAAAAGGAGAAACAAGAGCTAGAGAGGTTTTATATCAGGCTTATGATTTCTGCAGTTTGAACCAATGTGTTTTTTGCACTGCTAGTGTAAAATCACCACAAAAAAAAGAAGATATCATGTCTTGCTGTTAGTCTGAATATTGTTTCACTTCCAGGACCCAAATGAAAAGGTTTCAACCACCCTTGGATATCTGGGGGTGATATTCTGGGGACAAGGCCCTGGATGACCTTCTTGTCTTCACAATAGATTTTCTCTAAAACCTCTACAAAGAGAACTGACCTGAAATAGATCCTAAAGAAAGAACTGAACAGAGCCAAGAAACCAACTACTCCCGTCACTACGGTGCCATTTAAGAAAATACCTATCCTCTTCCTCTCTCTAGTGGTAGACTATCAGTACTACAACTAGCTACACAGCGGGACTTCGTGTTTGTTAGGCTGGGAAAAGAAATGAGGAAAATGATGGGTTTTTTTTGTTTTTTGTTTTTTTTTGGGTCCGGTCGTGGGGCCTGAACTCTGGGCCTGGGCGCTGTCCCTCAGCTCTTCAGCTCAATGTTAGTGCTCTACCACTTGAGCCACAGCGCCACTTCTGGCTTTTTTCTTTTTGCTTATGTGGTGCTGAGGTATTGAACCCAGGGCCTCAGGCATGCAAGGCAAGTGCTCTACCACCGAGCCACCTTCCCAGCCCTGGAAAATGGTTTTCTTGTCCCTGTGGCCTTCCTATTAATCTTTTCAGCCACACTTTCTACCTTTACTTCTAGATCTAAAGCATCTTTGATCCTTTAGTGACTAAAACACAAGAGGGAAAAAGAGCTACTGTTTTCAAGGCCTTTATAAAGTGACCCCTTTTCCAAGCTAGATCCCATTTCAAGTCAGGACACACTATAGGATTCTCATTTGCTAAAGACCACCACACCTGTACTTAACCTGCTGCTGATCACTCTTAATTACAAACGCTCCTTGGTTTGACTGCTTCAAGCGGTTAGGTGCTGTGAGGGCAGGAGCTCGGCATCCTTGCTGAGCCTGAGGACCCAGCCCAGTGTGTCCTCACAGAGCAGCCAAACAACACAACCTTAGCCTAGGACCCAGCTCTGATAATGAGCTCTTGGATCAATCTGCATATTCCTTCTTTGAGAAATTCTTTTCCTGCTTTGAGACTTAGCTCCACATTTTCCAGCTTGAAGCTTCCTCTGCTCTGTCTACACTCACTGGTGCTTCAACAAATAGCATGACTACAGATCACTATTTGTCCTGATATCTGCACCATACTTACAAGCAAACCATTTTCCTCCATTGTAGCACCTACCTACCTATGGCTTGCAAGAGATTTAATTAAGGCTCTCTCTCTTTCCTTCTTCTTTTTGCTGGTCCTCGGGCTTGAACTCAGGGACTGGGCACTGTACCTGAGCCTCTCTGTGCTCAAAGCCAGTGCTCTACCACTTGAGCCACAGTGCCACTTCTGGCTTTTTCTGAGTAGTTTATTGGAGAAAAGAGTCTCACTGACTTTTCTTCCTGGGCTGGCTTTGAACTGCCATCCTCAGTTCTCAGCCTCCTAAGTAGTTAGGTTTACAAGCATGAGTCACCAGCACCCAGAGAGGTCCTACTTTCTTATCCTCTAAGGCCTTGGGATGATCAATTTCTGGATGCCTGTATAACATATATTACATTATTATAAATTATGACAATCATTACTAAGATATTTTTTACATATACAAGTGCTTTCCATAGATTATCTCATTCCGTCTAACCCTACTGTGTGTATGTTGTTGTTGTTATTGTTATTGTTGTTGTTGGGCAGTAAACTCAGGACTTCTCCTGTGTGCTTTCCACCAATGTGCTATATCCTAAGTCCCTTTAGTCCATTTTTTATCACTAACAACAACACAACAACAACAATAACACAGCACAACAACAGATTGGGTAAGTTCCTGGAGCTTATAGCTCCAGAAGGCATTACAGGCTCACACCTGTAATCCTAGCTACTCAGGAGGCTGAGCTCTGAGAATCGCAGTTCAAAGCCAGCCCTGGCAGGAAAGACCATGAGACTCTTATCTCCAATAAATCACCAGAAAACTGGAAGTGGCACTTGTAGCTCAAGTGGTAGAGCACTAGCTTTGAGCTGAAGAGCTGAGGGACAGCGACCAGGCTCAGAGTTCAAGCCCCACAACCAACAGAAAAAAAAAAAATGGTCTTTGGTGACATTGAAAGGTTAAAGTTTGAGGCAGTGGCCACCACGTGTTGCTTGTTTCTGTCTAGCAAAGCAACACGTGGTGGTAATCCAAACACCTGGTTGATTGTGTGCCTATATAAGACCTGCAAATCCTTAGCTCGGGGCTCTCCTCCTGGGCTCCACTGTGTCGGAGTGTAGGACGAGGCCCGAGCTGCAGCCCGTTTAAATAAAACAGCTGTAGAGTCTGACTCTTGGTGGTCTTCTTGCGGGGGGGGGAGGGGTCCTGCGACCTTGGCATAACAACATGAAAGAAGCCTTTGAATGCTTCTCTTCAAAGACTCCAGCTATATAGTGAAAAACAAAATCACTAACAAAAAATAAACAACTACTCTTTAATTTCAGATCCCTATAAAAAATTACTATAAGGACTTGATTTTAAGACATGGAACTTAAATGGAAAGGGATGGAGGAAGGAGAGTGTTTCTTACATTTTAGAACACCTAAGAAATCCAGAGTGTTTATTAATGGTGCACTCTCTGCCCTCTAGACAGTCTGGGTTGGCAGATTTGGTGATCAGATAAAGGATTTCTCCCAAGGTGGCTGCGCCACATTCAAATCCATACCTACCTGTCCGCAGTGCCTGGAATGCTAATCACCACACTCTTCCATCTGGAGAATAGAAAAACCAAAGTTTTAAGATAAAAAATGTGTATAAACTTATATACAAGACTAAGGGCACAGAAATCAAATGCAGTGACATAAGGAACTAAACCAAAGGGAAAAAAAGAAAGGAAAAAGACATAACTGCAAACAGTACAAAAACACCCAAACAAACCTTGTTTCCATTTCTTGGAATTCATTTTGATAAGCATCATTTTATCTGATTTGGGGAAGGAAAGGGAAATCACAGAATTGGTGGGCAAAGGGTGAACCAATTCAACACTGATACTCACTAGACTTGTGGGGGATGAGGCTTGGGAGGGGGAAAAGTAGGAAAAAGGAGGGAGGGGCTATTAACACTGCTCAAAAAGAGATGTACTCATTACTTATGTAACTGCACCCCTCTGTACATCACCTTTACAATAATTTTTTTAAAAAGAAGAGGTAAAAGCATAAAGAGAAAAAACAAAGTGTAAGACATAATCTTCAAGCCAAACTTTGAATCCAAAATGCTAGATCAAAAGTCCAACACTACACCACTAGAGGGCATATAGAGGCCGACTAACGATAATTTTACAGTCTAGATCTGTTGACCAGGCCAGGAATCCTATCACTACCACCCCAAGGTCAAAGGATTGTCTTTAAATATCAGGCAGGTGGACCAGCCATCCTGACCTGGTTTGTCCTGCCTAAGAGAAAAGCGGATGTGGATCACCACTCAGAGCTATGGCAGTGTCTAAGAAGACCAGAAAAAAAACACAGGACATGCTAAGCATCTGGGAAGATCTCTTCTTAGTATGGCCCCCTAAATCCCACCTGCCAGACTGTTGCTTTGATATGAAAGCTCAGATCTCAGTAGTGTTCCACAGAAACGTCTCAGTGCGTTGTTGAGCATACTCTGAGACCCAATTTATGATCTGTGATAGAAACAGAAGCCATTCCTGTGCATTGTTAGTGGGAATGTAAAATGATGCAACCACCATGGAAATTCCTCCAAATCAAAAATGGAACCACTATATGATCCATCAATTCTACTTCTAAATTTGTCCCAAAGAATAAAAACCAGGATCTCAAAAACCAGGATCTCATAGTCACTTCAGCACCATTCACAAGGGCAAGAGGTGAAAGCAACCATTATATTCACTGGTGGTGAAGAATGAGTAGAGAAAATGTATCGAATGTTCTACCGATAAAGGAATATTATTCATCCACAGAGAGAAGGAAATCTGGTTATATGCCGAGATGGTAAACTTTTGAGAACATTCTGCTCAATGAAAGAAGCCAGTCACAGAAGAACAAATTCAGTGTGACTCCATTTTTAGGAAGTAGCTAAAAGAGTCAAACTTACAGAAGTAGAAAATAGAATGCTGTTTGCCAAGGATTGGGACAGATGAATTACTGTTCAATGGATATAGACTTTCAGTTATGAAACATGGAAACGTTTTTAGATCACTCTACAGTATTATATT